GTTGACCACAAATCTGACCAGGTTTCAATTCCCATTGCTGCGGCAGAAGGGCATATCAAGTGGTCGAGAACAACTTCATATATTCCATGGCCGATTGCCCAAGAGAGGGCTCTTGCAAGGGCTTTGGAGGCTTGGCGAATCATTTTGATGGACAACCTTGCTGGCACTATGGTCGGAAAACAGATTGATGATGCCCTCAAGGGAGACCCTGAGGCAAAAGCGATGGAGAAATCAATTTCCGATGCACTGTCGGGCAAGGCGGTTTCCACCTTGCGATCCAGGTCGTCCTCTTTGTTGGCCTATGGCCGCTGGTTGAAAGGAGTCGCATCCGATGCGCCAATTTTTCCAATGTCAGAGAGTCAAGCGTATACCTATGTGCAGGAGCTGAGGGAACACAATGCACCTCGGACGAGAGCATCAAGGTTTCTTGAAGCTGTTTCATTTGCGCACCACATGCTTGGAGCTGATGTTGGTGACACGTTGAGATCTTCAAGGGTGAAGGGAGCTGCAACTGTGTCCATGGTCATTCCAAAGAAGAAGACCCCGTTAACCATTCCTCAAGTTCGTTTCCTGGAAAATGTTGCAATGGAAGGCGATGGTCCTGAAACGATTTTTTGTGGATACGTTTGCATGATCTTACATATGAGACTGAGATGGTCTGACGGCCAGTATTGCCAACATGAGCCAGAAACTGACATGCATGATCAGAAGGGTTTTCTCGAGTGCAAGCTCTACCATCACAAGAATGCAGGAAGGCAGAAGCATGCTAAGAGATTGCTGCCGGCTGCCTGCAACTTGCCTGGCTTGTCCAACCACGACTGGGCAACTCCATGGTTGGAGCTGAGGAAGAAACAAGGCTTGGTAGCAGGCCCTGGACTGCCGACAATGCCGGCTCCGTTGTCAGGTGGAGGCTGGGCAAAGGTTCCCCTGGAACCCAGCCAAGCGACCACCTGGCTCAGAGAGATGTTGAGACTTTTCGAACCAGTTCCTCAACCAATGGACATCGGTACACATTCGCTGAAAGCCACGTGGCTGAGCATCATGGCGAAAGCTGGCTGTGATGGGGACATACGCAGACTTGCAGGGTACCATGCAGATCCTGGAGCAAAGATGGCGCTGGAGTACAGCAGAGATGCACAGGCGCCTGTTTTACTGGTGATTGACTCCCTCACCGCTGCCATCTCCCATGGACTTTTTGATCCTGATGCTCCCAGATCAAAGTGCTGGCCTCGAAAGGGTTGCAACTCTTTACATTCAGTTATGTTGTGTCTTGCTAAGATGAATGCTGAAGAGTTTTGGTATCAAGATCACAATGTGCCGCCTGAACATGTCATGACACAGCCAGATGACAGTTTGGAGGGTTTCGCTATCGTGACACCACCGTCGGAGCCCTACTCGCCTGGAAACTCAGAAGAGGATGTAGAAGAGTTTGAGTCCATTTCATCAATTAGCGATGCAAGTGAGAAACCTGTCCTTGGAGGGGACTACGCCTCGACTGACGAGGAAAGAGATGCTCAGGTGGCAGCCCCTATCGTCGGTCAGGAGCTTGCCCAGTCCTTGGAAGGCCACATTGAATCCAAGATTTTCAGGCATGTTATTAGTGGATGCTGCCATGTCGCGCGGGACGGAGACATTGACCCAGATGATGGAGAGTCAACAGTACTGAAATGCGGTAAGATTGCAACTCGCAATTTTGAACAGGTGAGTTTGCCAGGAAATTTCTTGCCCTATAAATGCTCAAGGTGTTTCGCTGGGAGCTGAGTGAAATACTTGTACTGTGCTATTTCAAGATGTTTCCCCCTAAATTCTTTTTTTGTTCAAATCTTGTGCATTACACGTTGAATGACCATCATACCAGTGAGACATCAGTTTGCGGAAGTGCATCGTTTCACGGCATGCTGGGACCTTGGAGTGAGGAGAGTTTCACCGTGTGATGTTTTGATGCAATGATGTCCAACCATTCTCAACCGGTTCTTTTCATGTGCTGTGCGTCACTGCTGCCCATTGTCACTACTTGAAATTTAAATGAGTGGGACCAACATGCACTTCATTGTCGTGACTGCGCACTGCCTTGACTCGAAGGGTTCAGAAGGCGAACGCTCATTGGTAGCCATAGGGCAAGCCGGGAGCTTCAGTGTCATGCAGATGTTTTGTTGGCAGTCATGTGTTGTGCATCACTTGCTCCTTCATTCTTGTTTTCAACTTTGTTTCTCTTGTGAGACCATTGGAAACAAACGACATGTGACACAGTGGACGCTCCAGCACAGTGAATCCTAGCAGTCAATGGACGCGCTTGGAACTTGGTTTGGACCTGAGCAGTCCGATCAGTGACGTAAAAAGAAAGAAGGTTGGAGTTTGCGTGACAAAACCATGTCTTGTTGTTTTTGGGGAAACTCTGAATGCAGTTTTTTGGGGTTTGAATGTCAGCAATGCCACGTTGTCATATTTGCCGAATAACGCAAGCCGTGACCAGAGGGTCATGATAAGACATCAGTGCAATGGCGTTGATGAGGCTCCAGGACAGAAAGCTGTTTCTGGAATGGTTGGCAAGTATGACATGGACACATGACATTTGTACATATTCTCGGTACTCTGAATTTTTCTTTAACATGCTGAAATTTTTCAACCCCAATGTTTCAGACTGACTTCACGCAGCAAGAACTTGAGCAGGTTTGAGAACGTGCTTAAAGTAGAAACAAAGTGATTTTTCAACTCATCATTTTTCTGTCTTTCAAGCTCCACGCGGAGCTGCCGATACTCTGAGGGTCGCCATGTCTCTGGTTGATAGCAATGCTGTTTTCGAAGCAAGGGCTCGCAGTATTGGTCTGAGCGATGAAGTCATCACTGCGATGGCTGTCAAAGGATGGACAACCCACGGAACCTATGCCTTCTCTGTTGCCACTCAACCGGGAGCAGATGAGCAGGCATTCCTGGATGGGGTGATTGTACCCCTGCTGACTACGCCTGACCACCCAGAGGCTCCAAAGCTTCGAAGGCTGTTCTTCGAGGCACACACGCTGACAGCAGCGGAGTTGCGACGGAAGGTGGACGCAACAGAGCAGGAGGCGCCCAGGAAACTTCCAGCGCCAGAGATCTCACAGAGGATTGAGATGCTTCAAGCGCGCATCAAACCTCTGATTGTGGCCAACTTCCTGGAGCCATCACACCATTTGATAAACTCCATGGTGCAGTGCGTGGAAGATGGACGTGTCAGGTACATTGAGTGGTCCCGTTGCACATCGCGCACACAAGAGGTTAACAACGTCAAAGAGGACGGTGACCTGAAGATTTGGAAAGCAGACAGCACAGGTGCGATCAAAGCGACATCAAAGGAGCCCTCAATTCAGGCCACCTTGAATACAGAGCTGGATGTCCACAACGCTTTGAGGAGACGAGGTGTGGCATACGAAATTGCCCAAGCAATGACGTTTGAGGTGCACGAATCCATCATCAACTACCTCTTCTTTGAGTTGAAGAAAGACCCAATGGAAGGGTTCTCACAGGTGACGCTGCAACAGGTTGCAGCAGCAGACCGTGAGTTACATGTGCGGCTGGCTGAAGCCACGCGTGGGGGCTTCAAGGCTGGACCCGCTGGAGAACTGCCTCTGGATTTACATGTGAAGAACATTTTGGAAGGACCCGAGCTGAAATGGATTTTGATGCCGTTGCCCAAGAAGTCAGTTGCAAAGGCAGCTGTGGCCGACCATGCAGTTGGAAAGCCCAACAATGACGTGGAGCCGAAGCGAAACAGGACAGAGCCAAGCAAGGCTAAGCAGGATGCTGCTAAGTTGAAGAGACTGAAGAGAACTCCCATGCCAAAGAAATTGGTAGGATGCGTGCCTTGCAATGAGGAGGGGCAACCTTACTGTTTTGCATTCAACCTTGGCTCATGCGCCAGCGCCTCAGACTGTCCAAAGGGACTTCATGTCTGCTGTAAGAAGGGTTGCAACAAGCGGCACTCATTCATTTCTGCCCACAAGCCGGGCCCTTGACTATTGAGCTGTGGTGAGCCCCGCCCAAAGAGGGCGCAACAAAGCAGTGACGAGGGTCACCAAGTGGCCGCTTCACGAAAGCGTGGGGCCGCCGCCTTTGCAGTGAGCGACAGCCGCTCCCATCAAGAGCCGGTCGCCAAGCGAGAGCGCTTGGTCACGGGCAGTGCTGGCGCAAAAGTGCGCGAGCCTTTTTCTGATGCTGATGAAAACATGTCAGCATTGCCGACGACTAGTGATCATCAAGAAGTTGACGGATCACGACATCAGGATGCAAATGTGCAGTCTGATAGGCCACTTTTTCTTTTGGATTTATTCTGTGGGACAGCTGGTGTTGCGGCTGCATTCAAAGCATGTGGTGGAGAGGCCCTTGGGATCGATCACATCATTGACAAACGGCGTGTGAAGGGGCCAGTTTCAAAAATTGACCTCACCAAACAGGAAAGTCAGGATACGGTGCTTGGCTGGTTGAAGTCCGGCAAAGTGGATGCAGTCATGCTGGCCCCCCCATGTGGAACAGCATCCCGTGCAAGGGAGATCCCCATAGCTGCGAAGAATCGCCTGAAAAATAAAGCGCAGCCTCAACCACTTCGTTCAGACAAGTTTCCAATGGGGCTCCCAACCTTGCGGGGCGTTGCCAAGCTGAAGGTCAAAGCGGCAAACCGTTTGTACAAATTTGCAAGCAAAGTCATAAAAATCTGCGTGGTGAAAGACATCCCTGTGATTTGCGAGAACCCACGCAGATCAATCATGTGGCTGACGGATTTTTTTACCGATTTGCCTGAGGAGTGTCGTTTTCAGCATGTGCACGCCTGCATGTATGGAGGCAAGAGAAAAAAGAGGACGTCTTTTCTGCTCAACTTTCATGCTCCAAACTTGCTGCTGGAATGTGACGACAAACACAGCCACCTACCTTGGGGGCTGGTGCAGGATGAGCATAAACTTTCTGAAATAAAGTTTTCTACAAGTTTGGAGACAGAATACCCTTCAGGGCTGTGTAAGCAACTTGCAATGGCGTTTGTTGACAAACTACAACAGCAGGGCAAACACATGGCGCTCTCAGCGGTCAGTTTGGACCAAGCTCAACGCATGGGATCGGGGTTGCAACCACGTGGCGCAAGAGCGCCACTTCTGGTAGGTGATTTCAAGCACAAAATCGATGTTCAGTCCCAAAGCGAGGACATCCCGACCCAAATCACTGAGACCGTGCGACCGCCATTTCAAGGAGTTCCATTACACTCCAAACTCATTTCTTCTCGACGCGTCACGAAAGAGGGGAAAGAAGGCGAGAAGAAAACTGTTACAATTTCTACATTTGGTGTTTTTCGGTCTCCTTTTGAGTTCTTGCACCGTGCCCTTTCTCTTGAACACCCTCTTGATAGCCCGCACACTGTTGACAAGAGCAATTTGAAGGCTATCTTGTTCATAAGGGACAACCCTGCTGCACACGTCTTGCAATTTCGTGCAAAACAACTTAAGAAGTATACCCAGCGTGCAGTCGAGCTTGCCGCAGCCGAAAAAGAGTTGAAGCAATCACTGGATTGCGACGTCAAGCAGGTTTTGGATGGAAAGCGCCTTTTACTCTTCAAGGAGATGGCTGAGGATGCAGGCGTTGGGGATGAGCACCTTTTTACAGAGCTGACAGAGGGCTTCAAGCTTACAGGGGAGATGCCACAATCAAAGCAGTTCCCGGCAAAGCTCAAACCGGCCATGTTGTCGGTCCAGCAGTTGCGAGACTCAGCAGTATGGGCAAAGAAGATGATCCATGCTTCATGCCGCAGGGTTAGTGCCGACCCAGAGATCGCAAGAGCAGTTTTTCTTGAGACGCAGCAACAAATACAGGATGGGTGGGTACGCGGCCCTTTTTCTGCCGCTCAGCTTGACCAGAAGTACAATGGTTGCTGGATTCCATCAAAGCGTTTTGGGGTCAGACAGAACAACAAGATCAGGGCGGTGGACGATTTCTCAGAATTCCTGGTGAACGCTTCAGTCACATCCACCGAGAAGCTGCAGCTATTTGGGTTGGACGAAGTTGTGAACACAGCCCGAACTTTTCTTGGATGTGACTTCTTGCGGTGCGATGAGTCGCTGGAAAATCTCTGGTGCGATGGCTCTGTAGCCTTCTTCAGAGGGCCTTGGAGGTGCATCCTGGGCAGGGCGCTGGACCTGAAGAGCGCCTACAAACAACTGGCCCGCCATCCCTCTGATGGCTGGGCCTCTATCTTGGCGGTCTGGAACATGGACACCTCCTCAGTGGAGTACTATGAATCGATCGCCCTGCCCTTTGGATCTGTTTGTGCAGTAATGGCATTCAACAGGATGGCCCGTGCACTCAGGATTATTTTAGCCGAATTGTTTGCGGTGGTGAACACCAACTTCTTTGACGATTTTTGTCAGTTGGAGTGTGAAGGTTTATGCGACTCAGCTTGGCAAACAGCTGAACTTGTGATGAAATTGCTTGGCTGGCGAATTTCCATGTCGGAGGATAAGAGATCACCTTTTGCACAGGAGTTCAACCTTCTTGGTGCTGTTGTTGACCTCTCTGAGGCTAAATTTGGTGTGGTCTCAGTTCATAACAAGCCCTCCAGGATCACTGACTTGCGAGAATTGGTCAACAGCATTTGCGGCAGCCAGACTGTGGCTGTATCAACTCTTGAAACCCTCAGGGGTAGACTCCTCTACGCAGCTGGACACGCATTTGGAAGGTGCACTCAACTTGCAATCCAGTTAATTTCTCGAGTGGCCAGGCGTGGACCTCTTGTCCTCTTGGACGACCAACTGAAAGGGGTCATCTTGAAGGCCTTGCATTGCTTGATTGACTCGAAACCACGCCGTGTGCAAGCTTGGACGGGAAGACCATCTATCATCATGTTCACTGATGGAGCTTGCGAGGATGACGGAGGTAAGGTGTCTCATGGTGCCACATTGTTTGACCCCGAGTCAAATCTTGCGTTAATGTTTGGTGATGAGGTCCCCTCAAATTGGACTCACAAATGGAAGGCAGAGGGTCGCCGACAACTTATTTGTCAAGCTGAACTTTTCCCTGTCCTGATTGCGAAGAACACTTGGAAGTCTTTTCTGAGAGGCCGGTCGATCTTGTGGTTCATCGACAACAACTCTTCCCTCGCTGCGATCATTCGATCTTACTCCCCAGTGTTGGACAGCTTTGAAATGCTTGTGATTAATGCCAGGCTTGATGTCGAGCTTCAGTGTTTGCATTGGTATTCAAGGGTACCATCCCTTTCCAATCTCAGCGACGGTCCTTCACGCCTGAAATTCGATGAGTTGAAAAAACATGGCTTCAGACGCTGCCTCCCATGCTACAATCTCACGGAAAGGTAAAGTGGGGTGGAAGGCGTGAGATGAAGGCATCTTGCGAAACACACGAAAGCGTGCCGACTCCCCAATTACCTGAAAAGAAAAAAATGAAGAACGTGAAATTTTAAAGCTGGCAGCTGCTTGTGTTTTCTGGAGCCGTTATTTTTCAACATGTCGATCGTGCGTTTTCGGATTGCAGTCTCTTTTATATATGTATATATATACTTGAGTGTATAGATATATACATATATAAAATTAATTGTTTTAAGTTTTCGTGTGCATGTTGTCATGCAGTCTATAGCTTTTGTTGGTAGGCGCCCCAGTTTGTGTACTTGGGTTTACCTTTTTCTTTTAAATTAGAAACGCGCAACCAGGGAAGCGAGCGGTAGAAGTAGAGGTGAGCAAAGGTTAGATAAGTCGCGTCTCACTTTAGTGTGAAGCCTTTATATAACCTTGCTCACAGGTGGGGTGCCACCGTCCTCTTCCTTCTAGCACGCTCCGCTCCCGTTCCTCCGCGTTCGCGTTTTCGGAAGTTCTCTGTGATTGACTTCTGAACTTCCTGAAACAACTCAAACAAATCTCGTTGGTTTTTTGTTTGTGTTCGTTTTGTCTTGAACATTCTTTTTCAGTTTGCTGATCCAGAAGAATGTTCTCAGTGAATGTCACTCTCGTTATTTTAAGTTTCAAGGGAGGGTGGGTGGGATAAAAGTTCTCACTACCCGGAGGCTGACCCGCCCTCCCAAAATTCCCCCCTCCGGGCGTGAGATGAAGGCATCTTGCGAAACACACGAAAGCGTGCCGACTCCCCAATTACCTGAAAAGAAAAAAATGAAGAACGTGAAATTTTAAAGCTGGCAGCTGCTTGTGTTTTCTGGAGCCGTTATTTTTCAACATGTCGATCGTGCGTTTTCGGATTGCAGTCTCTTTTATATATGTATATATATACTTGAGTGTATAGATATATACATATATAAAATTAATTGTTTTAAGTTTTCGTGTGCATGTTGTCATGCAGTCTATAGCTTTTGTTGGTAGGCGCCCCAGTTTGTGTACTTGGGTTTACCTTTTTCTTTTAAATTAGAAACGCGCAACCAGGGAAGCGAGCGGTAGAAGTAGAGGTGAGCAAAGGTTAGATAAGGAAAGTTCACTCCCTTAGAGCAGCCCATTGTGCATTAAACAGGCAGCTCGTTCCCAGGAGTGCGTGTTTATGCTAAGGCCCAGGGACCAAGGAAACAGTCTACTGGAATCGAGAGAGGCATCGTGAAGGCATTACGTCCCAGGGTCCAGACAACAGAGCAGCACTAACTCCAGGGGCCTCCGCAATCAGAGCATGGTAGCTGTTAGTTCCTGTCTGTACAGGTATGTCTTTTATTTTCCATGCCAACCATTATCCCCCTTGCCTAAATTATCCAATTGACCAGGGGATGTATCTGGTTAGGGTCGCCCACTATGCTTGTCAACCGTCCGCCATTCTAAGGTGATTTTACCCCATCGGTGTACCCTCATCCTTGGTTCTGAGCCAAGGGGTGCTCACCTAATCATTGGCTGCCCGTAAGTAGTTGTCTGGCAAATGGCACGGCACTAATACTACTACAGTATATGGTAACGGTTTAAACATTTGACCCCTTACTGCCACAGCCCAATCTAGGTCCCCCAGTATGATGGACGACATTTCCCTGTCCACGCTGTCAGATGCCAGCAAATGCTGGGTAGCTATTGCTGACTCGCACGTCCCAGGGAAAGATATATCTTCTCTACTCTGACCATAATAGTATCCACCAGCACACTACCCAAGCGCTCATCTCCTAATCTCCCAATATCGTAGCTAATCCTAGTGGTGGATGTTTCATTAAACTGGCCAAATGATTAGCGGTTGCTCCCAGGGATAATTGTTGCCCATTTGCCCTACGTCCGGTTTACCACATTGTGTAGGGCCCTGTATAACGATCTACATGACACACCCTGCTCTTGATAGTTATTTCCGTGTTGGAAGCAGCGCCATGCTGAGCAAACGCCTATTCGTAGAGTTGTTTCTCACTATCACTGTCCCAGCCAGCGCACTACCTCTGCCTAGTTATAGAACTCCCGTCAATGTGGCCATAAAAATCCCGTGGAACCGTTAAATAAATAAGGGTGCTCCCGGGTGATGGACATCACTTCCCACATGCCACCGCTGAAGCCCCAGGGCTATGCACCGCCGACGCAAGATGGAAAAGTACCACGATGACGCCTTCCTCGTGCAGTCTAATTGAGCCGATAGGACATCCGGTGCTGCCAAGTTCCAGCAGATAGTGCTCTCGCCGCCCATTGCATTTCATGTTCAGTGTGTAATAGAGCTAGAGTGCTAGCAGATTGAGACAGCTGCTGTTCCCAAGGGCACATTGGGTAATAGCGAGTACTTTACTATTACTCTGGAATACGATCCTCAGTTACGGGACACTGCCAAGGCAGGGTGTGCAACAGGCCTCGTGACGCAGCGCGTGCAACATGGTGCCAGGAGAGAACAGAGGAACTCCACGATGACGCCTCGCACGAGCAGGATAATTAAGCGGGTAGGACATCCATTGCCGCCAAGGAAGGGTAAATAGTGTTCTCGCCGCCCATTGCACCTCATGCTCAGAGCTTGATAGAGCCTAGAGTGCCAGCAGCCTCGGACAGCTGCTGTTCCCAAGGGTACCTTGGGTAATGGCGATTCTTCAACTCCCACTTTGAAATGCGGCACAATGTTCCAAACCGGTGCTATCCTAGTGTGCTGTCCTTCAGCCGCGCCGAAATAGCCTCTGCATCGCCCTCCAGAGACGGAGGCATGTAGCTGCGAAGATCTTTCGTTTTTTCAGCAAGTCCCTTGGTGATGTACAACATTTCGAACCGTATTCGTGTACAGGGCAGCACGTAGAGCAACTGTGGACCATAGTCGTGCCTCAAACCAGCTGCTCTCCCTTTTCCCACCTCGTTCAACTTTTGCTTATAAGTTTGCAGTGCCAGGTGGAGGAAACCATGAATGACCTGGACAACATAGGGTTTGATAACATAGGGTTTTCCCGCACTCCACCATTCAAGTACTCCCGCATGCCCTCACCCCCCGCTGTGCCCCTTTACATCGCTAGGAACATGACACATATGTCTGTTTTTCCTCTGCTGTTCCCAAGGGCACCTTGGGTAATGGTGAGGGCTCCATTTTCACCCTACCAGGTACTCATCTTTCATGGTTCATCCTCCTCATGACTGTCACTCTCTTCCCAATATCCCGGCCCCATCTATGCTACCAACATCTGTGCTCCTTGCTTCTGTCCTCCCCATTGTCCATTGCCTCGTGCCTCTCTTGCACAGAGTGCCACCTCCTCCTGTCATATGCTGCGGTTCCACCATGTGCCCCGCCCCGTGCTACTCACTCCTGTGTCATGAATCTCCTAATGAACCACAATACACTGCCCCCCAACCCTGCCACCAGTTATATGTTGTACATCTCTCCTTCTGTTGAAGTGTCGGGTAGTTTGTTGACTGAGCCTGGACCTCACATGACTCTTTCCGCCAGCAGCCATTGGTTCGAACTGTGAGGACACCGCACCTGCATAAGCCAGCTGCTTGGATCCTCACTTTTACTCAACTTCTAATCTCGCCCGTTCATTCTCCCTACAGCCGACACGGGGTTCCCGTTGTTTGGCCCCTGCCCGTTTCCCGGTGTTTGGCCGCTGCCACGCAATAGCGAGTGGTTCCTGTCTTTTGGTCCTGCAAGCCGTGCAACTGCCTTCACTCTGAAGAGTGCTGCCACTGCAGGGTACCTGCTGCTGGTATGCCGAAGCCAAACCCTTTTCCTTCTGGCCTAATCAGTGTTTCTGATCAACACCTACTGGACATATCGGCTGGAATGAATTGGAACATGCCAGCAGCCAGCAGCGTTCGTTTTCTTGCGGTGAGGGGCACAATATGGGTAGGTGATTGCCATATTTCACATTGGTTGAATACCACTTGCATATTGACGAGGTACCATGGATCATTTTTTCGACCCTCGCCGACGCCCTTGAGACAGAGTTTGACCCTGCCTTCTGGGATACCGTCAATTGTGGCCGAAAAGAGCGGTGGGGCTTTCTTGAACTACCCTGGGATGGAAAAGTCTACGGTGCTGCACCACAGTATGCCCAAGTCCGGCTATCTATCTTTAATCGTGACGCTCACACCATGCGTGTTGTGCAACCGTTTGTGTGGAACCATACGCACCTTAAAGTTCACCCGAACGGAGCAATGGTTTTCCATGAACAAAAAAGATTAGCCTTCCTGCTGCCTTTGATAGTAGAAGCTCATGGGTTGCTGCCGCCTAAGCCATTGTTCTGGGTCAATGATGACAATACCATCCCATTGTGGAGAACCACCCTGTGGACGCATGAAGAAACCATCCAGTGGTTAGCTGAGACCGGAGAGACGTACCCGCAGGAACTGCGCGAGGAACTCCAGCCGCGCATTGACCAACTTAAGCCTTCACAACATGCGAAACGGGCAGTGCCTCCGCCTCCGCCGGTACCGACCAGGTGGGCGGAGCGATCGATAGCAAAACAGCCAGCACAAACAGTGCAAACAGATGCTCCACCGGACCCTAAATGTACTCAGAGCACGCCACAGCAAGTGGCTGACCGAGAGCGGCAATACATGGAATTGCAGTCTATTATTCATCAAGCAAACCAACAAACGTTGGCAGATAGCCGACCAGCGGCGACCAGACTGACCCAAAAACCAGCCAATTTGCTGGCCGCAAGTCAACAAAGCACAGACATTGCAGCAACGGCCGCATCGTCCAATCCCAGTACAGGCGTAGTGGCAGAAGCTTCAACCCCGCAGCAAAGCAAGTCACCTGACAAAATCAGTGCACAGTCATTATTTCACAGACGACCAGGCCCACCATCGGCCCTGCCCGTGAACAAAGCACAAACGGATACCCCGGGTACCGGTGTGTTATCCTCTGACTCTCACTCTGCAACCCACAGCAAAGATGATGAGCAACAACAACCTTCGGAACAGCTTGCCGCCCACGACGACACATCTACAGAAGAATCGTCGCCTGCAAATACACCCAAAGCATCGCCGGAGACTCAAGCGACTGACACTGCTGGTGCTAGTAGCCCTGAACCCGCCAGTGACCCCATGCAGGACGTCGACCTCGCCACAGCGGACATCCCAACGTTGCAGAACATGGAAAAGACAGCCTGCGAAAGAGTGGCCTCCTGTGAAACGCGACTCCTCAATGCCCGCGAGCACCTTACTCGCATTAGAAAACGCCTTAAAAGAATGCAAGATGCCCACTCACCAGGTACTCCGCAACCCTCGCCTGTTGCAGATATGGAAATGGAAATCATTGACTGACCGTACAGACAGCTAGCACTGTGTGCACCTGACTGTGTGAAATCACCTGATCAGTGCCATTTCTAATGCCGCCTACTCTGTAGATGCGCCAAGAGAAAAGCAGCTGCGTGCCAGGCTAACACCCCCCAAACCTGCAGTAAGGGAGAGTACCCACCAAGTATGACCCCCATAAACGGGAGCAAAGGGATTTATGGGTTTT